AAGTTGTTGAAGGTCCGGCACGCCCTAGGGCACAGCGGTGTAGGAATAATAATATATGTTTCGTTGGCATAAGGTAAGGTATCTTGTCCCTTTTCTAAGCCAAGATGTTCTTGTTTCCGAGTTGAATCTAACAACTGCTTTCTAATAATAGGCTGCAGAGCTGTCGTTGCTTCCTAATAAGGCAGGATCAGCGATGACGTCACTCGTGCGATAGGCTAGGGTGCCTGAACTGAATCGGAAAGAGGAAGAACTCAAAATAAGCTCTTCCAAAGGGCTAAAACATTTCTGACTTTATCGGGATATTTAGCCGTCTGTTCCTAGAGCCTACGGTATGGAGACGATTGCGAACCCCTGGAGATCATGCCCTCGAGTCCCCTTGAGCAGTTCTGAACTTGCGAACTTGTGTGGGTGCTTGGACCCACAGCACTGCACCACGAGCCAAAAACCTGATTCGGCAGTCCAGCGCAGATCTTGAAAGTCAACCTCGAAAGTCCTCGGACGAACCAACCACTCGACAGAACTGAAATGCCACATGCACAATTGCATCACTGCCATGCCCAGCCCCAGCCTCCAGTCGGAGCGCTGCCTCGGCTGCCAACATGTATAAACCGGATCGAGACCCGCCTGGGTTCTTGCCCACAAGATGGTTAACATTCCTGACCATCAACGTCTGACTGCCCACTGGCATCTCACCGAACTCCGAGGGCACCAGCCGTTTACAACACCCCCCCGGAAAAAAGCACTTGGATCAAGTTGTGTCCTTGGAAGCCAACACACCTTGGAGCGGCTCTACATAACGATGGCACCACTCCCCCATTCAGCGTTCGCCCTCCTCCAAACAGCCGCAACAACCCTCCACCCAACCCGCACCCTCCCCCACCTCCTCTACAACCGCCAAACAACCACCACCGTGACGCCAACCAGCACAGCCGTCGTTGTCGTAACCGACACCAACGACGCCCCGGCGGCCGCGAGCACCGATGACCTAGATGACGCCAGAACGCTCAGCGGCGGCGCCATCGCAGGCATCGTCATCGGCTCCATCGCGGGCTTCCTACTGCTAGTGTGGATAATCCGCTCCTGCACAAACCTGGGCGCTCCCCCGGGCGACGAGGCGGTGCCCGGCCGGCCGTGGTACGGCAGCGTCCGGGACGAGTACCCGCCACGACACGCAGGCCGGGGACGGTCCAGGGGAAGGAGTCATTCGCACGAGCACCATCATCACCATCACCATGGCCATGGGGCGAGCCGGTCCCGGTCGAGGAGGGTGAGTGTAGTGAGGGAAGCGGTGCCCGTGCAGGAGGTGGCGCCTGTTGTGGTCAGGGATGGGCCTTATCGGGTCAGCAGGGAGGAGAGGAGGGTCAGGAGTCGGAGCAGAGGGTATGGGTATGGGGAGGGGCCAGTGAGGGGACGGAGTGGGAGTCGTTCCAGGTATTGATCTCGGGGTATGAGAAATAACTAGGGGGTTAGGACCCCGAGGCCGAGGGCGGTGCATAAGACTGAGCGAGGAATACAGGAGACTCGGGAGAGAGAGCCCGGAGGAAGTGAATCGGGGGTGGGGCCGTTTTGCAATCTGGTTGCCCCTTTCAACGATCTCTATTCATGTCCGGGGATGCCACCCGCAGTGGTGACTGGTGGCTAGGTACAGTACCTAAGCCTCAACATGACTTACATCCCACGGGCCACTGCACCGGCCCACATTCCCAGGTGTGCCCCTCAATGCTCATACTACAGGCGCGCAGTATACATCTATCCTTCCTCACTCTTATGGAGTTCAGCCAGCATCTTCCCAGTGGCCGATGGCTTCCAATGGGACACGGGGTGTGCCAGCCCCTGTATTGTACCGCCTTGGCAGAAGCATGGCGGCGCCGCGGCGGAACTTCGACCCTCACGCCTGGTCCGATTGACTCAGTATTTGAAATGGTTCCGGGCTCAAACAACTCCAACGGGTACCTGACTTAAGTCGCGGATTGAAGTCGGAGTCCTGAGGCGAGCATGAAATTCCATGCATTCCAGTTGTGGTGATTACGGTGGCTCCGACAGTGTAGGCCCGGTAACGTTGGACATGTGCCAGAGGAAATTTGGGGTGAGAAGGAAGTGCCCTGACAAGTTTGCAGCTGCTGGGTCATAGCAGGTTACACATCCGACAGTACTGTAGGTGAGGTAGCTACTACTAGAGATGGGATCGCAGTTTCATACTTGATGTAGTGTCTCAGGTATCACAAGCGCTACTAATGGAGAAGACGACAGTGGAGTTGTGCTCCTCACAGATGGTACTATGCTTCAACCGGCTGGCCTTACGAGGCTCCAATGTTCCCGTACCGGACGCATTTCCTCCCACGCCTCCTGTCACCCCTCCAGGAGATCATCACTCCGCCAGTCCTCTTCCTCCGAATCCTCCAAATCCTCCGAGTCCCGCTCTTCTTCGTGGACCTGTTAACAGTATTAGAAAGAAAGAAAACATACAGCATGAAATGGTTTGAGGATCAACTTGCGTCACTCTCACCCTCCATCCCCTCCAGGGCAGACACACCGCCATCTTCCTCATTGCACAATCTCATCGGCATCCACCCAAAGCGGCTCGCGGCAGATATGTAACGGTCCCAGGAGTATATTGCAACTAGCTGGTGACAACTCTACGAGTTTGTCTCGAATGGAGAGAGAAGAAGAAAAAGAGTGAAACACTATGCAAGATACCTGCCGTCTTATCCTCCACATCCTTGGCCTGTGCGCCGATATCGAACAAGATAGAAGTCCACCGAATCTCGAGTCTTGGCCGAGAGTTTGCCGAGGCCTTTACGGGCCAAGCCTGTTACAGATAGGACATATGGGCTCGCCGCCCTCCTCCTCGGCAGCAACCATCCAGCGAGCGAGACAGGCGTCGCCAAGGACGTGGCCGCACGGGAGGATTTTGGGATACTCCATCATGTCCGCGTTAGTGGGCCTGCCGTCCTCGCCGACCTGGTTCTCGGGCAGGTTGGGGACCTGGAGCCGGTTGATCTGGCAGATGCTGCAGGTGACGACGGGCACCGGGGCCCTCGTACGGTTCGAAGTAGCGCTCAATGTTGGGCCAGTAGTCCTCTTCGATCGTCTCCTCGTTCTCGGCGCGATCGTTGTTGGTTGGTTTGGAGGATGAGGAAGGATTTCGCTCCATCGCACGGTTGTTGTCGAGGGGGAACGCATTATGATCTTCACGATGCAGCTGGGCTGCAGCCGCCTCCGATTCCTCGGACTTTTGACGCCGCCGCTGCGAGGAAGTAGGGTATGGGTGAACCACTGGTTATCGCCGGATGAGTTGCGTAAGGGCGGTATTTTGTTATGTGTGTCGGTTCAGTGAGTGGATGAAATCACTGCAGTTGTTGCCAAAGTTTTGGCAGTAGTAGGTGCTCGGTTTCACGTGGTCGGTTTGGGTCGAAATCGATCTAGGGAAATTTAAGAAATTGGAATTGGTCAAGTAGAAAATAGAGATGGTATACTACATGTAAGTTTGAAGAGTGAACATCCAGAGAGAGCAGCTGCGTCCACGACAATCATCCTGTCCCGAGTTACCTATAGTTACTTGCACTAACGATCTGTCCCGAGTCATGTTTACACTACTGATGGGATGAGAACCCGACTTCGAAACTGATTTCTGTAAAACAAATACGGCACAATTTATTATTTGGGTATTAGGACTTTGAACAATATTCAAGTCAACTGAAGAATGGGCCATGAAACAACTCAGCCTATGGTCACGGTCGGAAGAGGAGCAGGTGGGAAAAGACTCATGCTGCTAATCAGGTTGTGCTCGCGACAAAGTCACAGCGCAAGAAGTAGCAGCAGAAGAGGAGAATCGAAACACTCCGACATATTTATCCCAAGTAGACAAGAAGGAGCCGAGAACAATCCGTTGTTGAAACAGAGACTCGTATAAACCTAACTAATCCAATTACACTTTAAATATTATTATTCCTACACCACTGTGCCCTAGGGCGTGCCGGACCTTCAACAACTTACTATACAGGAAAACCGCGCCCTCGTGGGCCGGGTGAAAAA